ATATTTTTTTTTTTTCTTTTGAGAAAAAGAGAGAGATGACTGGTTGCTCTGTATATTCAAACGTAAATCAAAACCTTGTGTCAGATGCTCATGGAGAACGGGAAAGGAAAGGATACTTAGGAAGGTAATTCAGGTGCTCCAAAAATACAGAAAACATATTTCAACCACTGCAGGTCTTTGTCAGGGCTTTAAAAACAAGTTTTTACATCTGTTTTACAAATTTATTCAACCACCACAAAGTAAAATGACACTCTTAGAAAACAAAAGGCTCTGAATTATTATTTTCCCTAGGCCTTTTCAAATTTTAAAGGAAACATTCTCTATAAATGCATATAAATCAGACAATGAAATAACAATACTATACAATGCAAACACAAATAGGCTACATGATCTTAAACTAGGGTATTACATAAGTGGGCCTGCATAAATTGAAATACATATAAAAATAAAGCATACAGAGAAACAAGGTATATTCAGTCAGAGGATTCAGAGAATAAAGTTGCATAATTTTCAAAAAAAATATCAATATTGGTTTTGGTTATCGGCCAAATGAGTTGTTATATATCAGCATATTGGATAGTGGCAAAAAATCCAATGTCACGCATCCCTAAGAACCACTGACTGAAACTATTTGGCTGAAGACTTGAGCTGTTTGAAGAACTGTGCTTGGACAGGACAGTGTTTTACATCAGACCAATAGTTCAATGCTCAAAGTTACCAGCAGCAACCAACACTCCTTACAACAGCATCACTAATTCATTCCTCTCTGCTCTGCCAAGCCAGTTTACTTCTGCCAAGTTGCTTTCTTGTTGATCTTTTCACTGTTGACACACTGTTGTTTGTTTTCTTTTAACACTGACATCAGTAAATGAAAATGAATGTTGCTTGGTGTGATACTGGTCACGATAAGTCAACTAACCCCCTAAAATAATGGCGTCATCATCATGGGCAAAGATGTAGCGCTGAAGATCCAGATAATTCCATGCCATCTGCTGCTCACCCTCAGTCATCATCCTCCTCCTCTCCTCCTTCCTCACTCTATCTCTGCCACCGTGTGTTTTGGGACTAGGCTATCATCAGAGCTGTGGCCTATTTTAGACAGAAACTCCATTTACCCACTTAATCTGTGTCTCTGTCTCCAGGAGTTGAGTTTCTTCTATTGCTCAGTGTAACAAATGGTAAATTATTCAGCCCAAGTTCTTTGATGAGGCCCTAAAAGGTATCATATCATATTGTGGAGTTGTAGAAATCACTTATCGAGCAGCGTACTGGAGTTAGTCATGTGCTGGATAAAACTCTTAAGCTTGCCTAATGGTTTCAAAGGACATTCACTGGAAGCTGAGGTAAACTCCTATGAACTCTTGAGTTGACTAATAATGCACAACATTGTTGTGTGTTGCCCACATGTCTGCAGCAGCTTATTGAGACAGCTCGAAACCAAAACAAAGCTAACCGTAAGTTTATTGAGCCCCAGAGTGTGTTGCCTCCCTCCCACCTACGGTGATGCACACGCCTAGGGGATCAAAGCTGTAATTAGCCTGCCATGGATTAGCAGTGGGGGCTATTTTCCACTGTACTCGCTCCCACAGAGCCAGAGGATCACACAGGAAGCCAGCCCCCTGTCCTTCCTCTCTTTCCAGTAGAGAAAATCTGAATCGCTGTGTTTGTTGTTGTCCCCTTGAGGTCCAGCAAACGAGAAACATCAAATCTGGAGAGTTTGGACACAAGGCGTTTCGTAAATAGATTTTGGTATTTTCCTTTTTGTTTGTTGTCATTCAGCATCCAAATCAGTTCTCGATGTACTTACGAGTCGCCAGTGGAGTCATTCGAGTCGTGTTGCGTGCAGACAGACTTGAGAATCAGCTGGATGTGTGGCTGGCATGCAGAGAGCTGTGGTGCTGCTGACTCACTGCACTGCCAGGTATGAGCTCTGTCTGTGTGTTGGCTGTCTCCATGATGTACAGTATGCTTCCCCCCCCCCCACACTCAGAGACTTGTCTCTCTGTCAGCCAAACACGAGTTCATACTGTTCCTCTGGGGGCTCCAAAGAGGTGGAGCAGCATAATGTGTGTACTCTCTTGTTTGTAAATGAATCAGTGCTTTCAAACGTGATTGCAACAAGGTTTTGGAATTACAGGGTATATTGCCCAAACTAATGATGGTATTACCATATGGGTAATTCTGCAAGATGCAATTCATGTCAAGAGGATGACGGATGTTTCTGCGCAGTACTTGTGGTTAGGGCTGCAGCTAACAATATTTTCATGATTCATCCACAGAATTAGTCTGTAAAACGGAAAATAGTGAAAAATGCCCGCTACAAGCAGCATTAAAATATGTACTAAAGGATTGATACATTGCTGCCATAGCTTATCTGAGATATAAAAAAAAATCTGTTATAGTGAACTAAAACTGTTTGCATGTCCACGAGAGGCCAAAAGGTAGAGCAAAATATGTGTATGTGTAGACAGGACCACAGACTTCTTTTTTTTGTTTGGTTTGACAGTGGTTGACATGAAACGGAAAACTACAGGTGCTTGCAGTGAAAGGTTATAGACAGTGGTCTACGCTGCTGAGCTATGCTGCCATCATTGGGGTGTTGGTTTTGTGGATGTGTGTGAATGTTTTGATTAGGTTAGATTAACTGTATTATCCCTAAGGGGGAAACGGCTGGTTCCCATGGAAGTGGTGAAAGGCTTTGTCATTGTTCGGCTGTACAGTATGACCGGTTGATTTCAGCGTGCCACAGACTCTGACCTCCTTCAGTTCATTTTAGCGAGTGCTGTGTTTGCAACCCTCCATTATTAATACAATGCTGTGTTTGCAGTTCAAGTGGTTAACCTTTATTCCACCATCCTGTACTGGACACAGTGAATAGCTAATTTACAACACATATTTTAGCGCAATCTGTCTGATACATTGTTGATAGTAAACAAAGAACAAAGCCATTAATACTTAAGGCTATAATTTTTCTATTTTGAAAATCAGTGTTAGATCCTTCGACTAGGTAGAGCAGAAACATGTAGTTTGAGTGAGAAGTGTAGATAGGGTGTCTGCAGGTCCTCAAAAAGTCTTAAAATGTCTTAAATTTTATAAATAGAAGGCCGTAAAAGTTATTAACTTGCCTTAAATGTGAATTTGTGAGGTCTAAATTGCCACAAACATCTAATTTAATGTATCTATCCTGTAATTTCTTTTTGACAAAATGAGTTAAGCCACATGTCTGATGTTAGAATTCTTTAAAACTGCCTTTGAAACTAATACTGTCTTTTTAATTTTGCACTTGCCTGTTGGCAAACTGTGGATTAATGACTCAGTCATATAACCATATTCCGACACAAATCCAACTTCTGCGTGGGACTACATATATACTAACCTGCGATGCTTTAATAATAAATAAACAGTCCTAAGTTTGGTTGAAAAATATCTCAAAAATGTCTTAAAAGCTTTAGATTTGAGTG